TGTTACCATTTCTCCATTTGTACCAGTTGCGTTAAGTTTCTTTGTGTGTTTCTCGAGCTGTTTTTTAATAATTGATAATTTTGTGTTTGGTAAAAATCATATGCTTGACAAATTTATTTGTTCGTATACATTTAGGTTGTAACCATAGATATATAATACAAATAGATTGACTGTTGCAATACAGGGTCGCTATTCTCGACATCACTCGCAATTAGCGCGAATATGCACGTTGCGAAGGTTTGATTTGCGAACGTTTCCTAAAAATGGTATTCTTGACCACCGTCCGCAGCGCATTGTTGTCGTCTAAATACATTTACCAACCCTGTAATGTCTAAAACGCCTGTCTTCACTGCTGTCGGAATAGGGTTAGCTCACTTTGTAGCTATGCTTCAAGAGTCGTTGGAGGATGCAGAGATGGGAATCAAGGTGAATGGAGTATTGATCAACAACATACGATATGCTGATGATGGTGTCTTAATATGTGACAACATAGTCGATCTTCAACAACTTGTCACTATAATCGGAGAATACAGTGAGCGAATGGGACTAGAGATTAATACCAAAAAGACCAAATTCATGATCATCTCCAGAAACTTAGATGCATTTGAAAACTCCACCATAACACTGAATAGTAAATCCATAGAAAGAGTGAGTAAATTTAAATACCTGGGATCGTGGCTTTTTGAAGACTGGGCATCGGACAGGGAAGTAAAATGTCGCATTGAGCAAGCTCGACAAGCTTTCGTAAAATTCAAGAAGGTACTGACTTGTTCTGAGTTCGATCTTCAACTGAGACTAAGGTTTACTAAGTGCTACGTATGGTCAGTGCTGCTATATGGCGTAGAGGGCTGGACACTCAAAACGAGAGATATAAACAGATTGGAAGCTTTCGAAATGTGGCTTTATCGCCGTATCCTAAAAATACCATGGACAGCGAAAATCACAAATATAGATGTCCTTAAAACAATAAACCAAGAACGCCAACTTTTCGAAACCATCAAGAAAAGGAAAACAGCGTATCTAGGTCACATCATGCGAAATGAAAAATACCAGTTCCTCCAACTTATAATCGAGGGTAAAATTGAAGGCAAGAGAGGAATGGGACGCAAGAAAATGTCCTGGCTCCGAAACATAAGGCAATGGACAGGGATTAACGACATACAATCTCTGATACATATTGCAAGAAATAGAGAGTTAATGGAAAATGTGATCGCTAACATCCATTAGTGGATTTGCATCTGAAGAAGAAGAAGTAGCTATGCTGTGGTTAGGGTATTTATAGTTACAGCTTGTTTATATTCGTATCTTGAAAATAGAAATTCCAACATGTCTTGGTGTTTTAATAAACACCTGAATCGAATTTTCAACACTTTTCTATTGCATTCCTTGTTTGTCGTCTTCTTCTTCTTCTTCTTCTTCGTGCGACTAGGATTACTCCTGCTTGTCTGCCTCTTTTCTGTTTCAGTCGTTGTTGACTGTACATTATCTTTCCATCTTTTTGACGGTCTTCCAACGGGTCTTCTGCTATACAGATGTTCGTTAATCTATCTGGTCCCATTCAGTTTACATGTTCGTTCCAGTTTTTTTTTTCTTTTATTTACCACCTGTTAATATTTTGCATTGTTCGCGTATACTTCTGTTGGTTTGTCTGTCTCTTAATGATATGCCCGGTATTGATCTTAATACATACTTTCATTTCGATATTGTTGATTTGTTGTTTCGTCTTTCTTGTATCGGTCCTTGTCTCCGCGCTGCATATGTTAGGATTAGGCTTATTGTTGTCTTGCATACTTTCATTTTTCTTTCCGTGGTCAGATATTTGTTTCTCTAGGTTTCTCGGAGGCAACCACTTACTCTTGCCGCTTTTGATGTTTGCTTGTGATTTCTGTTCTTATATCCCTGTCACTAGTGATCTCTACTCCTAGGTAATTGAATTTTGCTAGGAATGTTCTACAATTTTGCCGTCTATTTCTGGTTTGCATCTACGCGGCTCTTTACTGATCACTATACATTTAGTTTTTTCTACTGATATTCTTATATTAAGTTTGCTGTGATATTGAAGGTGTGGAGCTGCCTTTGTAGGTCATCTTCGTTATCAGCAATTAGTACTGCATCATCGGCATAGCATAGTATCGTGATTTTATGCGCTCCCATGTGGTATTTGTGTCGTTTTCTTACTTCGTGAATTATTTGATTCATCATCATATTGAATAACAATGGGCTGAGCGAGTCTCCTTGGCGGATTCCTCCTTTTAGTTTGATGCATTCTGTTTCTCCTGTTGGCATTATAACTCTGGTCTTGTTGCTCTTGTTAATTTCATTAATTGTCCTTATTATCTGATGGTCTATTTGTTCAGCTTGTAATAAATTTAAGATGTCATTTCTCTTCACCCTGTCAAAAGCACTTCTTAAATCTACAAAGCACATGTATGCTGGTTTTCCATATTCAATAGACTTCTCTATTATTTGTCTGATAATAAAAATTGCGTCTATTGTGCTGCGGTTCTTCCGGAAGCCTTGTTGTTCATCTGCCATGTTCGCTTTTTCCTCGATTTTATATTTTATGACTGTTGTTAACCATTTTAATGTACTATTCATCAGACTAATGCCTCTATAATTTTCAGGATTTTTCGAGTCTCCCTTTTTAAGTATCGGTAGCAGGAGACTTTCCTTCCATTTTGCTGGTACTACTCCGGTATTTATTATATCGACGAATAATTTTAGGAGCCATTTGCGTAATGTTGTTCCTCCATATTTTAGCAGTTCATTGTTTATCTGATCAGGACCAGGTGCTTTTCTGTTTTTTAATTTTTTTATTTGTTCTTTTAGCTCTTCTTCTGATATTAGTACTCTATCGTGAGTTTCGTTAATGATCCTTTCTCTGTTCTCTTCTTCTCCTTCTCCATATAATTTCGTGAAATGCTCAATCCATTGTTCCTCCGTAATGTTATCTATGCGTACAAATTCATTCGTTTCTGTTTTTTGTCTCCTTATCATCTTCCACGCCTTTTTCTGGGATCCATAGAGGTCGTATTCCATATCTTTAGTAAATTTCTCCAAGTGTTCTTTTTTGATGTTATCTATTTCTTGGTTTACTTTATTCCTGATTCTCACGTAGTCTTCTCGTGCCTCGGTAGTCTTCACTCCTTTGTATGTTAGGAAAGCTTGTTTCTTTTCATTTGCTAGTGCTTTCACCCTTTCGTCGTACCATGTAGTTTTGTATTCCCATTTATTTCTGTTCTTGTTTGTCTGTGGGCTATATTGTAATTATATCCAGTGTCGTTTACAGCAGGATTTTTGTCTAAAGGAGTCAAGAGCCAAGGCCTGAACGGATATCCACTGTCTGCTAATAGATATTAATTATAAAAATCTTCTATAATATACCCAAAACATTTGAATTGGCCCAAATATATGAATCGTGTGTGCTTCCTGGGTATCTTGCATTCACATTAATTATTTTAAGATTGCTGTCACATATAAGTTGTACCTACATTTATCGAATGATACCCTTTCCGTTTCACATAAATGTATTCAGGATTTTCCTCATCATTAACTTTTGTGGAAATATAGCAACATGGGTGCAATCGATGCATCCTACAACACCAGCAAACCGAAACTTTTCATAAAATTTTGTCCTAGTTTCATTCAATTCCTCGACATTTCTTGGGAAATGCACCCATGTATTAAATATATCGGGTTCGTTAAGTGCCACTCTAACTTCTTTTAGACATCGCGACATTGACGGTTGAGAAATTGATACGAATGATCCATTCGCGTTGCCCATCTGGTCACTGCCCGTTGCGAAAAAACGCAATGCAGCTAAAACCTATAAAAGATATAATGTTAATAAGTGCTTTACTATAAGTCAAAATGAAAAACTTACCCTTGCGGTCACGCTTAAATCTGTTGCTCATCTTTGCAACAGTAAGTATTTCAATTTAGTAACGGCACAATTCCATACTTAATCAAAAATGCTGCACAAATTGATTGTCAGATAGAATTTCAATCGAAACGGTGTTGTTAAATCGGTTACGTGCTTGGACTGTTTCTTCGGCATTTTCCAAATGTTCAATGACAGCAATAGCTTGCAAATCGTCCATAATACACAAATGAGTATGTCTAATTACGTTATTTAATACTTTTCGTATAATTTTTCTTCTTAAAAATGATTTTTACTTTACCTATAAAATTAAACGTTATTAGATATTAATGAATGAATAAAATTATATAATAATTTACCGCTCCAATTATTCCACATAAAAGTTACAGCGACATTCTACAGCGAAATTTGCAAATTTTATTTAAAAATAAACATTACCATAATAATTTTTTAACATAAAACCAAAGAATATAGATGCATATGCGCATTTATATTCTGTGATAAAACATTACAATCTTCACTTGCGAAGACGATGCGAATGATTACAACCACTCGTAGCGAGCGCTCAAGAATACGAAAAACAGTATTTCGTTCGCATCGTTCGATCTTGAGAATGACATTTGTACTTGCGAGTGGTCAAGAATAACGCCCCAAGCCCGTTCCCCAGTGACAGAGAAAACGGACGCAAACAGTCCCTGCATCTCATTCTAATGGACCGGGTTTATCAACCACGTGACCTTCTAATTGGTCATTTAGGTCACGTGGTTGATTAACCTGGTAAATTAGAAAGAGATGCAGGGACTGCTTTGAGTCAGTTTTCTCTGCCGCACTGGGGGAATGGGCCTGTATTGCAAGTCAGTCTATTTGTATGATATATCTATGGTTGTAACTGTATGTATATCTCTTTTTCATTTTGATGTTGGTTATTTGAATACAGTAGGCATTTTGGATAAGGTTTAATAAGTCTTTGTCATCTGCATAATATTTTTTACAATTTTACATACTTGAGTAACTTAGGTTGAATTGTATCTCACGTCTTCGATAATCCAGAAAACATGCATAGTCTATAGTGAACTGATTATTGTTACAAAATAGGTCTAAACATTATTTTATTTTACAGGCTTGGCAGAGAAGGCCGGCGAGGAGATGGAGAGCAGGAGGTACTATATTTCCTGATGACAAAGTTATGAGTGAAGCTCAAGTAATAATTAGAGGTGGGGAACTTCTTGTGGGGATTCTAGATAAAACTCACTATGGGTCGACCCCGTATGGTTTAATACACTGTGTTTATGAGGTAATCTAATTGCTAGAGAATATTTTGTTGCTATAAAATGAAAAAATTTTAAAAGAGAAGCTTAATAGCATGAAAATGGTCAGAAATACTCTTAAAAGCAATTTAATCTTAATAATGTTGATTGATTTTAAATTTTGACAAGTTAAAAACTAATCTTCAAAACTGGGCCTAGCCTAAGCACCCAGAAGTGCAGAATCATTAAATATACAAGAAGATGGAATTTAGAGGGATTGGATCCTCTCTCATCTGACATCAGGAAAGTCTATTGCAAACCAAGACTAATGTGAGTGTTATTTTGAGTAGGGACGTACTGTTCTCGGATGGTGAAATCCATATACATCGGCATTATGCCGTTTATATTTATTATCGAGATGGAATGATAAGTCCAAAAACGTTAGTTCTGAACAAAAAATCAACCATTGTAATCCATTTGGATTTTTAATTTATTTTTTTAATTAAATACTTATACCAATTACAACAGTTTTCACTTCGATGTTAGTTTTTTTTAAATATCATTAACTACGGCATTACTGACTACATCAGTTCCACTTTCGGATATACATACTTGATATATCGGAGGCAGAGGGGACATAATCAAAATCAATATCAGAGTGTCCATCATGTCCGATTCACTTTCAGATTTATTCCGAATGTCATTATCGGTATATACTTCAGCAAACCACCGGAACAAGTGGCGAGGTGACGAGGATCTATTATTCTTGAAATTAAAATGGTTCTAAATATTTATTTGAAAAAAGAAGTAACAACCTTACTTTATGTCTACAAAAGAGACGTTGAATGAAAATAATTGTTTATTAACACACTGCAATATTTATAAATTCACACGCTCACTGTTAGCTTGCACTGAAACAATTCGGCCTACTGTGCATCTCTATGAGTCACCGACAAAAAATTTCTACCTATAATTACACAGAAACAAATATGAATAAAATGATATTTTATTCTTATTAAACATTTTTCTTACCTGGATTCTCCATCAAATTTGTTTCATCGTAGTTATAGATTACATATGGTGAAATTTCCTCCAAAGTCTGCTTTAAGTTTTCTGTATAAACCTTCATTTATTGTTCATTAAGAGCTGCTCTACTCCTCTTAGTGTTAGTTGAACAGTTGAAAACCAAACTTCGATCCTTATGTGGCGTTCTAAAAGCTTTAACCCAGTCTTTACCAGAAAGATTATCTTTAAAATGGTTTACTCTCTGGTTTATCTATTGAAGAGAAATAAAATGTTAAATGTATCTTTCTTATTGAAATATTTGACGAAGTTTCATTTCACTCAAGGGCGCCCAAACTCGCTCATTTGATGAGCGCAAGAAACAAATGTCCTTTCTTCTTTATCTGTAATTGTAGCAGGATCAAACCTGATTAGGTTAGGTTACAAAAAAGAAACAAATGTCCTTTCTTCTTTATCTGTAATTGTAGCAGGATCAAACCTGGTTTGTTCATATGTTTGTTCTTTATGGTTCAATATGGTTATGTGTGGTAGATTGTGAGATTCCAGTTTTAATGGCTTCTAAACATACTTCTAAATTTTTTGCTTGTAGTCGCCATACATCTAAGAGCCTTTGACCCGTTTATACACTCTTTGTATCTTCTTAAAACAATAAAATAAAGATAAAGTTAAAATGTTCACCAAGATACTTTGGATCTTGGTGAATATTTTACTTATCACTTTCAAGGACCATGATTTGCACCGTCACCCTGGTGCAATGTTTCCCCATGTCAACATGAAATGTGCATGAACAAATAAAATTAAATTGTTTAAAATAATTTTTAGTCAAATTGGGTTTTTGCAATTTCTACGAAGTTAAAACAGTCGTGATATATGCTAATAGGATTGTACATACATTATGTTATCAATTGGGGACTCCTTGCCACCAAGATGTTTCCACCGAAGAAATACCATAGATTTTTAAGGCTATTGCGAAGATTAAGTCTGTCGGCGTCTGGTTGATGGCAGAAGCATCTAACGTCAGTCCAACAACTATTAAATTTCCCTTTATCGAATAAAAATTATAATTGCTAAAAACTTAGCACAGTTTTTCTGTAATAAACTAATAATACACTTTTGCACTCATGGATGGTGCAAAGTTACTCGACGGTTGGCAAAGTAGCTCCGTTTTACGGTACTTTTTTTAGATTTACTTATTTTATATAATAATGAATTTGCATTAGATAAAGTCATGGTCAGTTTTAGATAAAAAAAAATTACCAAAAATAATTGATTTTTTCATAATTACATTTTTTTATAATTTCTTTCAGTTATATGGGGGTACTTATGCAACAAGGTTACTTTCTTCGTTGGCCAAACTTTTCATGAGATTTCTGCAACAAGAAGGGTTTACACTTGGTGTACATGATATACTTACGGTAGAAAGAGCTGATGTTAGGAGAAGGCAAATTATAAAAGACTGTAGACAAATTGGAAAAGAAGCCGTAACTAAAGCTTTAGATGTACCTTTAGATACTCCTGATGCTGAAGTCGTTGAAATAATAGAAAAATTAAGTGCTGTTGATCCCAAAATTAGAGCTACGATAGACAGATCCTACAAGTCTTCCATGGATATTTTTACTAATGAAATTAATAGGTTAGTAATTATACATGCTTTTATAAAAAAAAATAATTCCGGTTATTTTTAGAACTTGTTTGCCTGCTGGTCTTGTTTGTAAATTTCCTGAAAATAATCTTCAGTTGATGGTACAATCTGGAGCCAAAGGTTCAACAGTTAACACTATGCAAATTTCTTGTCTTCTTGGTCAAATAGAATTGGAAGGAAAACGTCCACCTGTAATGATATCCGGAAAATCTCTACCTAGTTTTCCAGCATTTGAGTTTACTCCGAGAGCGGGAGGGTTTATCGATGGACGATTCATGACTGGTATTCAACCGCAAGAATTTTTCTTTCATTGTATGGCAGGGCGTGAAGTAAATTGTTAAGATACAGTGAGTGTACATTTTTTACAACGTATGTTTTAGGGCCTTATTGATACAGCTGTTAAAACCAGTCGGAGTGGATATTTACAAAGATGTCTCATCAAACATTTGGAAGGTTTACGTGTTGGTTATGATATGACTGTGAGAAACAGTGATAAAAGTGTAATACAGGTAACTTTTTAGAAATTCATCTAAATTACTTTATTAGAAACTTGTTAAAAATTGATGTAGTGACTTATTATCTTAAAAAATGTTAATTTTCTTGTCTTTCGGCTGCATTTTTTTATCGGCATAGACTAGGTGTCAATCAGCCAGTTACAACATGACTACTACCTTAAGCAATTTTATGACCGTAACGTCCATAAAATATCAATAACGAAGAGCTGAATAATATGCTTTAAGAGCTAAAATTAAAATAGGATACAAGTTAAATATTGTAGCATATTTTCAACATCATCAGTGTGTTCATCAAAGTTAAGCTAGTACTAGATAATACAGAAATTGAACAAATATCTTCGTACAAATACCTTGGAGCATGGATCACAGAAGATACTGATCAGAAAAAAGAAATAAGATGCCGCATTGAAATTGCTCGGTCAACTTTTAATAGAATGAGAAAACTTTTTTGTAATCGCGATATATCGCTCCGGATAAGAATGCTTTGATGTTATATTTTCTCTGCCCTTTTGTATGGAGTTGAAGCTTAGACACTTAAAAAATCCAACATTAAAAACCTAGAAGCATTCGAAATGTGGTGTTACCGACGTATTTTGAAAATATCATTGATGGATCGCAAAACAAACGAACAAGTTCTTGAACAACTAGGAAAACAATGCGAAGTTTTAAATTCCATAAAAATCAGGAAATTGGAATACTTGGGGCACATAATGAGAGGTGAAAAGTACGAACTACTAAGGAATATAATGCAGGGTAAAATCAAAGGTAGAAGAAGCGTAGTAAGACGTAAAATCTCGTGGCTACGCAATCTCCGTGAATGGTTTGGATGCAGTTCAATTCAACTATTCAGGCGAGTAACCAATAAAATTATAATTGCCAGAATGATTTCTCCAATAGGAGTGGAACTTGAAGAAGAAGAAGTGTGTTCAAAAAATGGTACACATAATATAATTCAAAATACTAACTTTTTTGTATTATCTCATTTTTATCTATATTTACATAAAAACAAGATGATGAGGTTCTCAGAGTTCCACAGCAAACTTTTGAGCAGCTATCTGAATGTTACCTTTTTATTAGTAGCATTAGTTCAAATGTTTTGCCCAAAAGTATTTTAATTTTTCTTCCTGCTGGCGTTAATATTTTCAGTTCGATTTTTTATTTAGCACTGTTTTTCTAACAGTACACAGAATTTTTAATTGGGTATCACTTTGAATTTTTGAGGGGTTGTTATGAGTAGCCATAAGTGTGAGAGGTCGTATATCGGCATTCGGCTGGCGATATATGCTCTCTTTTAACATCACCTGACTTATACATGACATCACATCTTTATAGATTATAAGGCAGCCTACGACTCTGTAAATACAACAGAAATTTTCAGAGCAATTGAAAAGCTAGGAGTACCAATTAGATGGTAAATTTAACAAAACTAACCTTTGAAAAAGTTTAATGTAGAGTGCGAAACCAGAGGGAACTATCTGAACCTTTTAAAACAAATAACCAGCTGCACCAGAGAGACCCTGCCTCCTGTATATTGTTCAATCTGGCTCTGGAAAAAGTAATACGAAAACGTTGTACGAGAGGTGTATGTAGCATTGAAAGAAGCGGCTACAAAATGGGCTTAATAATAAACACCAACAAAATGAAGTACATGAAAATAAGCACATAACCACAAATCTTACGGCTAGCTCTTATAGAAAACGATGTCATCGAATAAGTTAACGAATTTGTATACCTGGGAGCGCTCGTCAAGGCTGAAAATAACATAACTGTAGAATTTGCGCATCCAGCAGGTGCTATTTTGGACTTAATCTCGTTAAATAGTTAATTAAATCTAGAAATACAAAGGTAAACCTCTACAAAACTATAACTCGCCCAGTCCTAACATATGGTTCAGAGACCTGGACTTTAACAAAACGTAATGAAAACATGTTAGGATGTTTCAAAAGAAAAGTACTAAGGCGAATCTATGGCGCTGTGAATCACAGAGAGCGGAGAGGTGGATACAACTTCGAACTTTATAGAATATGCCAAGAACTAAATATCGTAAAATATATTAAGCTAGAACATTTAAGGTGGGTAGGGCATGTAATGCGGATGGAACAAACTGCCCTAGGTAGAAAAACACTCCTTAATAGACTCATGTGTCAGAGAAGAAGAGAAATACTCAGAATAAAGTTCCTTGATCACATCGATGAAGACATGAGAAATATGGGAATACCGATAAAGACATGAGAAGTGTGGGAATACGAGCTTGGCGGACGAAGACGATGGATAGGGACTACTGGAGAGAAATTCTTAAGGAGGTTGACACCTACACAGAGTTGCAAACCCATGATGATGATGATGATGATGAATATTTCTTTGCATAGGATATTACTGTCAGAAAAATCTACTTTATGGTTGATATTAATGGCATATTGCTACAAAGCACAAGAATATTTTTACTTATTGATGTCATTACTGTGAGAAATAAAGCGGTATACGTAATAAGGTGAAGCCACATGGTATGAAATCAGCAACATTGATTTATTTTGAAGTAGAAAGTGGAGTTTTACTTTTAGAAAACATGTTTCCAACAGTTTTTGCGCCTTTTAGAGCAATTTTAACCAGTAAATTACTGAAGAATATACTGAATTTATCTGTTAGGCAAAGGAATTAATTCTTCTAGAATTCTTCATATTATCCATGAACAGTTGATGGATCTGGTCCTTAATCACGAAAGTTAAGACAAAGTCGATCAATTTTTTATATTACCATACGCAAAGAAATACATTGCCTAAAAATATCTTTATTTCCCAAAACAATGAATGTACTGCTTTAATAGTTACATGTTCTTCTGAACATGTAACTATTAAAGGAAAAATATATATGAATGAAGGAAAAAATAAACTTACATATTTCTTGCATTTCATAAATGATATTACGAATAAGAGGTGCATTGTTACAATTGGCAACATGTTTAGCAGGTTGTGCTATTTTCTTTTGTGGTGATCCAAGTAATTCATTGCTCTTCGTCTATTGATAAATGTTGCTGACTGTTGAAATGTTGAGTTTCAAGGCTTCCGCAACTTTCTGAAACGCAGCTTTTAGTAAGAATGTTGTTTGCATGCGAAATTAAAAATACTACAAGATAACTATTTCAGTTTTTTTAGATTTTAATATATTTAAATTATAATAACTTTATACCATACCTATAATGTTTAACTATTAACCTATAATATGTAACTGCTTTTACTAGTAGCAATGTACGCTGACTTGCATTTTCCTTTTCAAAATATTCGATTAAATTTAATAATAACAGCTATAACCGGCTGTAAAATGTTTCGGCATTTTTGCCATTAGGCCAGTAAATGAACGTAAACGGTTATGTATACAAAGAAGTCATAAAAGAATATTATAAAATACTGAATATTGATGAAATATTAAATATAAAGACATCAACTTACCCCAATGGAGATTTAAGAATACAATTGGGTTTAGGAACTGAAACACCACTATATATATAGACAAAAGAGATATAGTCGGTTCGCTAATCCCAGTCCTAACTGTCTGCTGAATTTAGTAATTTTTTTTTGTGAAGTTAGTTACTTTTTGACAGACTAGAAGTGGTTGGAAATTACTATACAACCAAGCACACGTGCTCATAGCATATTTCATTAGAGTATTTTGTCAACCTTTTTTGCAAACTTATACTAATATTCTATTATTCCTATCAGAAACTAGTTTTGGACGACCCAGGATTTTACGTTTTTTATTTAACGTACTTTATTAATACTGGTGTTGTATTGGTAGGTATTTTAAATAAACCTTTGTGCAGTTTCATTACTCATCTAAAAATATTAACTTTTAAAGAACATTTATTATATTAAAAAAAACTTCTTAACGGATTAGCTGATGGAACAAGTGGAAAACTTTGACTATCCATAATAATAAAATTCAAAACAAAACTAACTAATTGACTAAATAGAACTATATATATATATATATATATATATATATATATATATATATATATATATATATATATGCCGGTTTAGAACGTCCTTCTCCGTTGTCCGACACCTAACTTCCATCCTCTTCTATCGTGGCAATCTTCCGTTGATAGATTCCGTTCGCTCTTGATTGGACTAAATAGAACTAACAAAGAATTAAACAGAAACAATAGAACAATAAAACTATATTAATTAAAATTTTCAACGCAAATAATAAAAATATTTACTACAATATGTTAAAATTGTATTTTAAATCTACAGGAAAAATTTTATGGGTTTAGTATACACTTCCAATACTTAGAATAATTCTTCTTTTTTCAATGGAAGAAGTCTGCGATATAAGTATATTTGAGCTATTAATACTGAGAGGTAGGAAATTTTGTGTTCTACGTTTCCGACTATGAATCTGTCAAAATATACCCGGGCTATGCGAATGGACCTTACATAAAAAACTCCCACTTCTGTATCTATATTCTGTTTTATATATGTCTATGGAATAGATACAGGAATATAAATATAGGGAATATACGAAGAGCAAACGGGAATATAATCAAAAGAAGTGAAAATTTTAAATGAATAAATATTAAAGCGGATATTTAGTTAATAAAATGTTGAGCGCCAACCATTTTAGAAAAAAAAATAGTACCAACAGAACATTAAGGTACCAAATGAATATAATCCACAGAAATTGGAATAAAATAATGATTTGAAAAAAAAAATAACAAAGATGTGACATCTTTAACGGTACAAAGTCAAGAATTAATAAAAAAACAACTTGAGTAAGAACCAAAGAGACAAAATGCATGGTTATGACAGCAAATTTACTAAGATGTAAAGTTGAGCTGGAAGGTCAGATAATAGAACAAGTGATTGAGTTTAAATATTTAGGCATCCCATTATTTAGCTACGAAAAACTCGAAACAGAAGTGGAAGATCTTCAGGTTGTCTGAATGAAATAATATGGAGAAATAAAAATATCGGGAAAAAAATAAAAGGCAGAATTTACAAAACAGTCATCAGACCAATAATGACATATGCGGCAGAAACACGACCTGACACAGAGAAGATAAAAAGGATGTTAGAAACAGCAGACATGAAAACACTTTGAAAAATTGATGGTAAAACACTATGGGACAGAGCTGGAAGTGCAGAAGTGCATCAAGGATTAGGTAAGAAATAGAAGAGTAGAATGGAACGATCATATAAGTGGAATGACAACAAATAGAGTAGTAAAGACGGCAAGAGACGGTTCCCCAATAGAAATTATCAGTAGGAAGACCACGAAAACGATGGAACGATAACTTACTGGTCTCATATTTAAAAACAGAGTCATGTCTACATAAAAAGAAGAAAAATAACTTTAACTGATGCAAACATGACAAAAATCAAACTTAATTTATGAACATTAGGATGACACTGACAGACTCTAGTATTTCTATATCTTTTGCATTTATCGAGATCAAAACTATCATTACAACAACCTGTCTTTCTGTTTAAAATCAGAAAAGTTTTCCTTTTACACACGAGTATGAATAAGATGCTGCATTGCATCAAAAATGCGTGTTTTACCGCGTCTGGTATTAATGAAGCGTCTTTCCCAACTAAAGGTCGATTCAGACACATCAGTCCCGTCACAGTCTCGGCGCCGAACCGGTCCTGTTTGGTCACAGAACTATTAACTATCTGACAGCTGGAAAACTGTTCGTCTCCTGATGAATGTGAATACCGGCGCCATATTTCTATTAAAGAATATTTTGTATGACGGATTGTTCGGTTCGGCGCCAGGACTGTGACGAAACGTAACTGATGTGTCTGAATCGACGTTAATGCTGCTCTCCAAATGACATGATAGTTTATAGCTTTTGATAGATTTGACTACAAAACTGAAGTTTTTATTCCTTTTTATATACTTTAACTTACTAAATAAGACTTACTCACATTCAGTTTATTTATTATTTCTTTTACCTATTTGAAATGGACTCACACAAGCAACACATTCATGACTTTAACTTACTTTAACGAATGATTGATTGTTTAATTTTAGTTTTTGTATGGAGAGGATGGAATGGATATTTCAAAAGCTCAATTTTTCAATGATAAACAGATGAGCTTCTTGGCCGAAAATATCAAGGTGTTCGGTAATTCCGATACGCTTAAACAGTTGAAGAATGACGAAGATCAAGAGGCTATAAAAGAACATGGGAAAGCGGTAAAAGAATAAAAATAATTTTAATTTATTTTATAAATTTACATGATAATATTTTAGGTAACAGAATGGAAGAAACAACACGGAAATCCTTTAAACCGTGTAAGGCAAAGTCCATTTTCACTATTTGCTAGATATGTTCAGAATCGGGCTGGAGATAGAAAAATTTTAAGTAAGGAGCAGTTAATGAAACTTTGGTATGAATTAGACGGGGACATCAAAATAAGGTAGAATTTGAATTATCAAGATATAATATTTTCAAGATATATCAAGATATATTATCAAGATATATCAAGATATATTATCAAGATATATCAAGAATTTAACTAAGTTATATTAATATAAAAGAGAGTCGTTAATACCAATACACGGTTAACTGGTATTTCTGTCATAACTAATACTAATAATAGTTTTCATATATCACAGGTCTTCGTAATATGTTATAATAATATACGTTAACCAATTTTCAATATCAGCGATATTTATTAATATGCTTTTTCTTATTATAAAAAAAAATAAACATATTTCTAATTTGAAATTTATTTTCTATCTTGCTTTTTGGTCAGCATTCAGACTCGCATTCGCTTAACTGTCGAATAATTTAGCGGACGATTGTTCAGGCTCTGGCCAGAAAAACAAAAAGGCTAAATTAGTAGTTTTAAATTCTAAATGAATCTGCTACTTAGACTGGAATATGCTGGTATATCAAATAAACGTGATGTTGAAGCCGGAATTCGAATCAACGGAGAATCTATCAATAACATTAGATACGCGGACGACACGGTAGTATTCGCTGACAGTTCTGAAACCCTCCAGGAGTTAATGAACAGAATCACAGAGGTCAGTAAGAGATACGGACTTTCACTAAACACTAAGAAAACAAATAGAAAGAGTAAAAACATACACCTACCTTGGTACGAACGTCAATGAAAATTGGGACCATTCCATAGAAATCAAATGTAGAATAGAGAAAGCAAGATCTGCATTTCAAAAAATGGCTAAGTTATTCAAATGTCATTAGTTATCAATGCCCATAAAAATCAGGTTACTACGATGTTACATCTTTCCTATACTGTTGTACGGAGTTGAGTCGTGGACTCTCACAGACGCCACCTGCAAGAAAATTGAGGCTTTTGAAATGTGGCTTTATCGTCGCGTCCTGAAGATATCGTATACCGACCACGTTACTAATGAGGGTGTTCTGTTGAGAATGAAAAAAGAAAAAGAGCTGTTAACCACAATAAAAACAGCCAAAATCGAATACCTTGGTCACATCATGAGGAACAGCGAAAGATATGGACTGCTGCAACTAATCTTACAGGGAAAAGTAGAAGGAAAACGGGGACCAGGAAGGCGAAGGATTTCCTGGCTGAAAAATCTACGAACGTGGTTCAACACAACAACCACAAATCTTTTTAGAGCAGCAGTGTGCAAAGTGCAGATTGCCATGATGGTCTCGCAACATCCGAAACGGATAGGCACTACAAGAAGAAGATCAAATAAACCTATAAATGAGCAGTACGGCAAGAGATGGGGGCTTACAGGTCGGATATACTCCTCAATAGATTCCTCCTCCATATCTATATAATATATCTTAATTTGTCTGACTATCAAAATATATGACAAAGCATGATCATTATAGTTTACATAAAAAAGTGAAAGAATTATCTAGAAAATCACGAACAAATACACCTAACCCATTAATCGAATAACCCGATTAAAATAAAACAAGTATGGACTAAATATATTGAAGATCTTTTCATGGACACAAGAACGGAATCAACACAAATTGATAACGAGGAAGCTAAAATAATATTAAAATCTGAAGTCCATCATGCTATAAACAACTCAAAATCTGGCAGAGCCCCTGGGCCAGATGAAGTTCATGTCGAGCTGATTAAACTTATAGACGAAGACAATTTAAGTACATTAACTATACTCTTTAACAACATATACAAATCTGATAAGATACCTACAGAATGGCTGCTATCGACTTTTGTTCCGCTACTAAAAACCAAGAACCTCAAACACTGTAATAACTGTAGATTAATCAGCTTAATGTCACACTAGAGGCATTTTTAAAGATTATACATGCAAGAATATTCAGAAAGTGCGAAGCGGATGTAAGTAATAGACAGTTTGGCATTCGTAACGGCTTCGGAACAGTGAAAACTCTGTATAGTTTCACAACTCTTACCCAAAAATGTCGAGATCAACAAAAAGATCTTTTCGTTGCGTTTATAGACTATAAGAAAGCTTTCGACAAAGTTGAAACATAACATTCTCATGTAATGTCTAAAAAGAAAAGAACCCGACAAAAATGACATTAACATAGTGAGTAATGTTACCTGTTAGTTCCAATCTCTATTGGAACTAACAGGTAACATTAGATGGAAATAGTACGGATGCGCAACAGATAAGTAGAGAAGTGAGACAGGGCTGTGTACTTTCACCATTACTATTTAATTTATATTCCGAAGAGTTATTTACGCAATCACTTGAAAACTGTACAGAAGGGATCAAGATAAATGGTGAGAATATAAATAACATCCGTTATGCTGGCGATACAGGTATTATCGCTGAAAGTGAGACAGACCTGCAGACGTTACTAAACACAATTTGTGATACTGGGGAACAGTTTGGTTTAACAATAAACATAAAGAAAACAAAAACCATGGTTATCAGTAAGAGGGGCAAACTCATTACAAGGATCCAAATAAAAATTAAGATATTGAGCAAGTGGACAAAATGAAATACATAGGAGTCTGGATTACGGAAGATCTGAATCCGAAATCAGAAATTCGCTCAAAAATAGAGCAATCAAGAGCAGCCTTTTTGAAAATGAGAAAATTTCCGAGTAACCAAAGACTCAATCTGCAAATCTGATCATCATCATTCAGCCCATACTCGTCCACTGCTGAACATAGGCCTCCCGTAGTTCACCCCACAAATTTCTGTCCTGAGCCGCCTGCATCCAATTTTGATGTGTCCGTTTCAGGTCATCCGTCCATCTTGTTGGTGGTCGTCCTCTATTCCTAAAGGCATCTTGTCTGGGTCTCCACTCAATAATGCGTTTTGTCCATCTGCCGTCCTTCGTTCTCGCGACGTGCCCTGCCCAGTTCCATTTTAAGGATGATATTCTTTTGATTGCGTCGGTTACTCCCGATCTACGGCGTAATTCTGTGTTGGGTATTCGGTCTCTCAGGGTTAATCCCAACATGGACCGTTCCATTGCCCTCTGTGTTGTTCGAATTTTGTTTGCGGACGTCTTAGTAAGTGTTAGCGTCTCCGCACCATAGGTTAGAACCGGCAGCACACATTGATCGAAGACTTTTCTCTTCAAGCAGATGGGAAGAGCTGATTGGAAAACATCTCTTAGCTTTCCATAAGCTGCCCATGTCAACCCTATTCTACGTATTAGTTCATTGGTCTGGTTATCTCTACTTAAGCGAATTTCGTGTCCCAGATATTTGTATGCTGATGTTTGTTCTATACTTGTTCCAGCTATGTTGATGTTCTCACTCAGAACAAGGTTTGTCATCACTTGTGTTTTTGAGTTGTTGATCTTTAAACCCACTTGTGTAGAGGCATGGTAGAGTCTTTCGCACATTTCGATGGCATGATCTATGCGGTCTGTTATCAGGACTATATAATAATAATCCTTTTGATACCGTAGGTATCTGGGATGAGTGAATTTTCCCCTTAGAGGGAGTGTGAGCCGTATGGCTAAATCTGGATAATAATAATAATAACATAATAATAATAATAATAATCAGATAATAATAATAATAACCAGAGCTCAATCCTTTTGATACCGTAGGTATCTGGGATGAGTGAATTTTCCCCTTAGAGGGAGTGTGAGCCGTATGGCTAAATCTGGGATAATAATAATAATAATAATTACCGCACTGTGCTCACAGACCAACCAGTCGCCCATAATAGACCGGATCTCATACTAGTGAATAAAATTACCAGGCAAACAACACTTATTGATGTAGCGATACCTAACACTAACAATTTGCTTGTTAAATACAACGAAAAGATCGCCAAGTATAGAGATCTGGAAATACAAATCAAGAGACAATGGAGAATGGAAAGTACCCAGACAGTACCTATTGTTCTATCTACTACTGGTGTTATTCCCAAAAACCTCCTAATGAACATAAAACAACTGGGTCTAAGTGAACATCTTTATAAGGCCATGCAGAAAGCTGTACTCCTCGCGACCTCCAGATGTGTACGAAAATTTCTGGGAGATACTCCGACATACCAAGTCACGTAGGGCTCGATAACACGGAAAGAGTCCCACCAGAGCTCAATCCTTTTGATACCCTAGGTATCTGGGATGAGTGAATTTTCCCCTTAGAGGGAGTGTGAGCCGTATGGCTAAATCTGGGATAATAATAAAGGCCTTTATTCATCACATAATATTATTTACATAAATTAATATTCAAAAAGCTCCAGGCGAGTTTCAGTTCAGGAAATGTACAGTGCGAAGCACTGACACATCCTGTCTGTTCAGCTAACCTGGGCAAACAAATAATAAGAAATATCTAGAATTGTAACCAATTAATAGTACTAATATTTATATAAAAACGAAATCAAAATCATAATGTAAATTAAATAAATTTTAGTTAACTAAATGTAGGAAAATATAAAAATAATTAATCTAGCATTCAATTAATATGCGCCCTAAATGTAAGTTCTACTCATAATTATTTATATTATCAAACCTTACCTATGGAGTATGTCGTAATTTCTCAAAAACGAACTTTTTAAATTTGTTTTGAGTAAAATTAAGAGCAGTGGTATAATTATTTATAACTTGAGCTATATGATATGAAAAAGATCGCTTATAGTTCTGTGTACGATGATAAGGAATAGAAATGGTGTTTTTATGTCTGATGTTAATATTATGTACATCAGTACGGAATTTTATTTTATTATAGAGGTATGGTGGGGTTTTAAAAATAATAATTTTTTGGAATTGACAAGCTGAATGAAAATGTCGTCTGAGTTTCATACTTAACCAACCTGTTTCTTTAAGTTTGTAACTTATTGGTTGATTTCTGCGGATACCATGTATCAAACGAAGGCAAGAATTTTGCATTTTTTGTATTCGATAACTATCACGTTCTGTAATACAAGAATTATAAATAGAATCGCAATAGTTAAAATGTGATAACACCAAGGTATCACACAGCAATTTTTTTAAGTCTTTGGTCAA